AAAACTCAGAACACTTCATCTCTCTAGTTTTTTGTTTGGTTTGGTCCATATCTAGTCTCTAAAAACATCCCTTGTGCCGAGTGGTCCTGGGACAGGAGACTATTCATGGAGCTGTACACAATGGGTGTACTTTTTACCCTTTTTTGTATTATGTGTATGGGTCAGACACCAGTCCTGTATGACTCCCAACTGCAGGGAATACATTTCAAAGTTTTCTGGGTATTCCCATGGCTTCACTAGGTATAAGATGAAAAAAGTAGTTCTCACCAAAAAAAAAAAAAAAAAAATTACCCAATATTTTTGTTCTCATCATAAACTGATAATTTTTACATTCTGAATTTGTCTGAGAGGTCTAAGGTTTTTATAATTTCCTTTATAAATTTGATACATGGTGCCTCAAACCTACTTTGATATCTACCTTATGGCCAATTAAATTAAAACGAAGACAAAAACAGTCCTGTTTTTTGTACCATGTTGTAAAAATGAATAAATAGGCTGTTGAATAAAGAAGGTAGAAACAAATGCAAGTTTTGTTCTTGCAAACTTGTATTATAATCACAAACACGGTAAGTAAATAAGCCAAAACATGAACACTGTGATGCTGACATTACAGCAACAAACTCTATGCAGAAAAGTAAATCAGTCTAATGGATAGAATTGATGGGGATGGGTGAATGCTGTTTTAATTGTAATGGCCAAGAAAGGCTTATTTGTCAAGGTGATATTGGGTAGCAACTGGAAGGAAATGAAAGGCCTAGCCATGAGCAGCCAAGAAAGACAATTCCAGGCAGAGATTACAGCAGACATAAAATACCTATGGCAGAACAAAGCCTGACATGATCAAGGAAAAGCTAGAGGCCATGGTAACTGAAATAGAATTAACAGTACTTCAAATGGTAAGTAAGGGCCAAAGCAGGTAAGGCCTTATGTGCCCTGGTGTAGATTTCAGTTTTATCCTGTGCAGGAAGAGGAGCCTGTAGATGACTGGTTTTGAGCAGAAGAGTGGACTGCTCTTTCGGCCATGTTGGTGGAACTGATCAAAGTGCTCAAAACCTGATTTGATTCCTTAGGCTGGGTACCACCTTTGTCCTTCGCATTTCCATTGCAAACCTACTAGGCCACACATAGAATGCTTAATACCCCAGCTTGTATTCCTTTTCCCAATCTTTCATTTAACCAGTATATTCTGTGTATTTATTATGCTCCAAATTAGTAAGCCTTTAATGATCCAAATAAGCCTATTTCTAAATATGTATTTGCAATGGCTGGTTTACCTCATCTAACAGACAGTAGTAACCAATTTCAGTGTTTTCCATGTACACTTATTTCTATGTAAGCCCTGTCAATGTGAAAAAAGACAGGGCTTCCAGGAGGAGGCTCCTGAAAAATTAGATTTAGATTTAGGCTTTAAATTGGGGCAAGGGTGGTAGTGACTCTCTCTCTCTCTCTCTCTCTCTCTCTGTGTGTGTGTGTGTGTGTGTGTGAGAGAGAGAGAGAGAGAGAGAGAGAGAGAGAGAAAGAGAGAGAGAGGCATACTAGGTTGAGGAGGACATTAAGAATGTGTGTCTCTCCAGAAAATGTGTTGGAAAGAGCAAGTTTTGGGAGAAGTGGTGAGTGTGCCCAGGGTTGGAGGATAAATGTGTACAAAGGAGTAGGGCAGAGCCCTGGTTGGAAAGACCCCGAGGTTTTGCTAGAGTTGAGTATCACTCTGAAGGCAATCCAGGAAGAACTTAATGAACAGGGAAAGACAGTTAAATTTGAGACATAATATTATGCTGTGTAAATTGGAAAAAAAATGAAAGAGAAAAGAGCATACTAAATTGGCAATCTATTACTAAATATTCTAAAGCAATGCTTTCAGTAACTACCATATACTGAAAACAAAACAGTTTTCTCAAAATGGGAATTACAGTATTTTCTTCTTTACCTCAAATATCTTGAGTGTATAAAATAAGAGTTCACAACTGTTAAATCCTATGATTTTGCACTGGAGTTATGAAAAATGGATAACAAAAAGATATATAAGAAAATGCAATAGAAGTGCAAAAGTTGCCTTTGCAATTAGATTTCCTTTACAAAAGTTTGGTTCTTATTATTGGTGAAGGCCATCTGTCAGAGATAAGCACTCAATTTAAGTAAGTGGAAGTGGAGTCTTGAAGGATATAGATCAAATCAGCTACAGAAAATGGCTCTTAAGGAGATTACATGTCTCAGCAACATGGGCTGTTTGTACACGTGTGATGTCAAACCATTACATAATCATCACGGGGACAAACTTTTCATAGAGATAATTACTTGAAAAGTTTCACTCAAGAAAATAAAAGCTGGTAAAATAATACTAGAATAAAAGTAAATGTAAGAAACACCTACAGGAAGAATATATGCATAAAAGAAATGTATGCCATCCTTTCCACTGTTTATTGGTCATCCAGTATATGCTGGGCATTTTCCTATGTGCTGAAGGGTACAAAGATGAATGAGAGACCAGACACAGTGGTGCACACCTGTAATCCTAGGGAATGGGGAGACTGAGGCACAAGGAGCATGCCAGCCTCAGCAACCTAGTGAGGCCCTAAGCAACTTAATGAGACCCTGTCTCTAACTAAAATATAAAAAGGGCCAAGGATTTGGCTCAGTGGTTAAGCATCCCTGGGTTGCATCCCTGGTACAACAAAACAAACAAGCAAACAACAACAACAAAAAAAAAATGGTCAGGTCCTTAAGCAATGAGGGGAGAAAATAGAAGCAAATACATTCAGAAGGCTAAGACAGAAAGATCAAAAGTTCAAAGCCAGCCTCAGCAACTTAGAACTTGTCTCTACATAAAATATATAAAAAGAGGGCTGGGAATGTGGCTCAGTGTTTAAGCACCCCTGGATTCAACCTCTTACACCAAATAAAAAGCAAATACAAAGTGTAATGTGAAAGGAGGGACGGGAAAGGACTTCATCGAGAAGGAAAAACATGAATGAATTTTAAAGAACAAATTCAGGTTGCTAATTAGATAAGGAAAGGAAAGAGGCTGAGGGAGCAATGTGTACAGAGACTTGGAGGAGTAAAAGAACTTTGCATGCAGAATAAAGTGTCACAGGACATAGCAGAAGATAGGACTGGTCAGGGAGACAGGGGACATATGAAAAAACCTATACATCATGTAAAGATATTTGAGCTTGGTGATTCAGTCTCTCTAACTGGACCATGTCTTTCTCCATCCTCAGACTGGTACCAAAAAAAAAACCCTCAGATAAATATGAGACATCCTCCAAAAGCATAATTTTACTTATTGCTAATGCATTATTTTAAAACATTTTTTTTCTCTTAAGGACAAAAAAAAAGATTTAAAAATTCACATAAATCTTTAATTGAACCTTGCCATCTAAGACATTTTGTCCTTGAAGTGTTGGGCTGCCTTTTGGCTATAATCCAAATCCTCTCAGAATTGTATATAATCTATCTTCCTGGAGCACCTCTCCAAAAGATTGGGAAGTGATGCTTTGTCTTAAGATGCACTGAGGAGTTTTCAAACAGAGAGCTCTTATGATCAGTTTGGTGGCAAATGTTAAAATGGAAGCAAAGTGCACACAGAATGTGTCCAGGCCAAAATGATCAGCCCAGGGTCTCTGCCTAGGTGACTGTGTGAACACTGGCAGTCGGTGTGCTTACAGCGATTTCTTGCCATGGTCACAGGTTCAGCAACCCTCCAGGTCAGACTTTCTGAGGAGCCCATGACCTCCCTGACCTAGGGCCCTGATGCCACTGTTCCTACACTCAAATCCAGAGGATCCCAGGGCATCCTTTGGAGCTTTCAAATGCAGGCATCATAAGTATCTTCTCATACTTTCCATATTAGTATTTTCTACTTGATAAATCACCAAATTATGGCTTATGCTTAGACATGCACATATCTAGGGGACAATTTTAGGCCTATCATCTTCATATGACCAAGAACTTTAATGAATTCATATTTCTGCTTATCTTTTACTGAATATAGTGAAGACATCTAGAGCTCTGATGCCTCTGGATGATTTGCTACTAGAAAGATAGCAAGCCTTCACTAAGCCACACCTAAAAACTAAATAAAATTCCACAGAATAAAGGAAAACATGCATTTCCCTCCTAAGTAGGATGAGGTATTTGACACTATCCACTGCCCAAACCCAAACACCAAAAATTCCCAGCAGACACTTCAAGGTGCCCTGAACTTGGGCTCCAGAGTGTGAGGCCAGTTTAAAGTGCCTATTTAGAAGAGACAGTGTCTGCACACATTTGTATCTTCATGATTTCTTATGACCTTGCTGAGAGATGCATGACAGCCTTGAGAGATAATCAGTGCCTCTCAGTTTTACAATGTAGTTTTAAAAATACTTACCCCCAAGATTTGAGGCTTTATAATTCTAGCACAAGAGAAAAGATGCTACTTGACTAACTCAGAGCTTCCTTTCCAGGTTCTTTTTCTTATCATTGAATACTGAGAAACCATTGAATTTAAAGGTCTCTGGATTTATATGGGGGTGGAGTAAGGAAATCCAGATGAAATAACTCAGGCAGGGAAACATGGAATAATGACACTTAGCTCCCTTTTGCTTCTATTTCATTGCATTTCCTATAGGCAGAATAAGCTTAGAAAGGATATTGGTTCTTGTTACCTATATCCAGCATGCAATACTGGGTGAGCATGCTAAGTGATGCTACTTTAGCAACTCTTTTTCTGGGAGGTGTCAGAGTTCTGAAATGCTCAGTTATCTAAGTCTTCACATCTTCAAGTATTTACTTGAAAATTCACAAGTCACTAAATAAGAATTCTCATTGAGAACATGACCTCAAATATTAGTGCTTAGATGGCTCTGTGTTCACCATGACACAGACAGCCTGACCAATTCTCTTTGACCTGCTTTCTGGAGAGAGAGGTAGTGACTGGAAGTTTCCCCTCCATACTCTGAATACTTTAGAGAAATAAAAGATGAGGTCAGGTGATCTGTTGGCATCAAGAGATTCCACTCTTCAGGAAGAAGATATTATTTATTCTTAAAAGTTGAGTTACCATCTTCAGTGAAACCAGAGTAACTTTGGGCACCATAAGTACTAAAGCAGAGAAACGCCTCCCACCCCACATTGCAGCAGAACAGGTCCAAGATGACTTCTGCCCACTCAGCTCTGCCCTCTTCCACCTGTTAGGTAGCTGTTAGAATTTACTGTGAATGCAGCACCCTGAGATAAGGAGGAAATATCCAGAATAGCCCAGGCTTTGTCTTCATCCCTCCAAGAAGATGATGTCTTACATATTCAGCTCAGTGAACCAAGTGACTTCTAGGCTAGAAAAAAAACCCCAAAGCAGAATGAGTTCAGGGTCCTTCAACTGCAGTGTGACATGGGCATGCACAGATGAACCTCCATCCACCCAGGCAGCCTTCCTCAGCCTTGGAAGAGTGGCTTGCATGAGTCCTAGGCTTCTAGTGTAGTGTCCCTGGTTGACTATCTGTGAGTGATAAAATTGTTTCACTTAACTCATGTCAGTGTTTACTCTCACTGGACTTCTCCACGTGGACTTATCACTAGTACACAGTGAATCTATTCACACATGTGTGCATACGTAACTTCTAGTAGGCCAGCCTCCTCAATGTTTACTCAAATTAGTCATTAAAGGCAGGAGAAGAACAGAGCTGTAGCTTGGGAGGGAGGAGGTCAAAATATGTTGACAGTTGTTATAATTGTGGAACTTGTAGCTGTTTTGGTCTTGTCACCAAATGAGGTCTGAGGAGGTCCTTAGAAGGGACAAGGGGACCTCAACTCAGCCCTGGCAGGTTCTCTAGTTATACCAGAGAAAGGAATTTCAGGGTGCATCTAAAGAAGAGGGAGAAATTTACTCAGCAAAACAAATAAAACAACAGCATACACACTCAAAGAAAGAAGTACAATGGCACTCAAGAAAGAGACAAGGTTTGGGGGTCTCAGCCTTCTCCTTTTAAAGGAAACCTTATAAGTGGTCTAAGGGGGCAACTTCATGTTGACGAGCTCGATTCCTTTGGTGGTGGAGCAAGTGGACCACACTGGTCTGATTCTTTTCAGATTCTTTAGGTTGATATTATCTGGTTAATACCCAGTGCTTGGACTGTACCCATATCATGGGTCTTTTAACAATTTTTCTCTCTAGGCCTCTTTTAATCAGTGCAAAAATATATCCTGTAAGCAAATAGGGGTAGAGGCACAAATTAACTGGACTTGCTATACTTTTAAGATTTTTGGACATTTTTAAGAATTTAGGCCTGGAGCAAAACAGGCCTGTGCAGTTAAGGTGAAGGTGTTGGTGGAGGTTTTACATTTAAAGTTCCCTGTTTGCCTCCCCACCCCCTCTTTCTTTCTTTTCTCTCTTACCTCAGTTGGAGGACAGGTAACAAAGTGAGCATGTTTGTAGGCTGTGATGGTTACTTCCATGGGTCAATTTGGCTGGGCTATGGAGCTCAGATACTTGACCTAACATTGCTCTGGATGTTTCTGTGAGAGTGTATTTGAATGAGATTAATATTTGAATTGGTGGATTTTGGGCAAAGATCTTGCCCTTTATAAACTGTGTGGGCCTCATCCAATCAGTTGGAGGCCTGAATAGAAGGGACTGTCCTTCCCAAAACAGGAGAAAACTGAGCCAGCAGATGAACTTTGGACTTGAACAGAAATGAGGTCTAGCTGGGTCAACAACCTGCTGGCTCACCCTGTAGGAAGATCACAGGAGCCTCTTTCTCTCTCTCCAATGTTTGTATATGTCATATACAAATACAAAACCCTATTGTCCTGATTCCCTGACAAATAAATAATTTGACAGAGAGCAGATGCACGAAGACAATTGAATAGAAGAGCAAGGAGCCATCAGAGGCAGGTAGTGTGCCTTTGGAAGAGCCAGTCAGAAACATGGTTAGTGGCCAATGTTTCATCAGCAAAATAAAGGTCTAATTTTTTTCACAGCCCTTTTTAAAACAGTAATAAAATAGTTTCCCATATATCTTGTTTCCCACTTGCTTTATTCAATTCAGATAGAAATTTACCTCATAAATCGTATGGTAAAAGAAAAATAAATAAATTTACCTCAATTCATTAACCATTTGTTAAAAAAAGCAACACTTAATTCCTCCTATAAAAACAACCTTACCAATAACACTGGTGTTCACATTTTCTGATTTTACATTTCTATCAGTGAGAACCTTTGAGCCTATACCCTTGATATACACAAATGTGCTTACTTGTGAAGTTTTTACATTACTCTACTAATGAATGATTTATTGTATAAAACATGCAAAAAATAAAAATTTGAAAAGTAGGAGATGAAGAAGAAATTATATTAAAAATATTTAGAACAGGCCCAGCGGCCTGCCGGCGTGGTAGTCACGTCACCCCAATTGGAGTAGGGGCAGAGCAGAGCCGCCGCCCACGCCTGCAAGGTAGGCAGACCTGTGACCAACCAGCAGAACTGGCCCAGCGGCCCGTCAGTGTGGTAGACAGATCACCCCAATTGGAGGAGGAGCACAGTCACCGCCCGCCCCTGCAAGGGAGATTTTTCAACTATACAAGAGCAATATAAATATATAGGGGGAAAATTTCAATAACACAACAGTTTCACCAAGCAGAAAGAAACACGAGCAGTATGAAAAGACAAGGAAAGAAAGGACCACAAGCAATGCAGGTCAACTCAACTTTAGAAGCGGTAGTAGCTGCAGCAGATGGAATGTCAGATAAAGAATTCAGGATATACATGCTTCAGATGATCTGGAGTCTCAAGGAAAACATTAGACAGCAAAATCAGACAATGAAAGATCACTTCGACAATGAATTACAAAAACAAATCCAGGAAGCAAAGGATCAACTATACAGGGAGATAGAGGTTATAAAAAACAAACAGAAATCCTAGAAATGCAGGAAGCAATAAACCAACTTAAAAACTCAATTGAGAATACTACCAGCAGAGTAGAACACTTAGAAGATAGAACATCAGACAATGAAGACAAAGTATTTCAACTTGAAAAGAACATAGACAGCTCAGCAAGACCGTTAAGAAACCATGAGCAGAACATCCAAGAAATATGGGATAACATAAAGAGACCAAACTTAAGTCATTGGGATACAGGAAGGTATAGAGGTCCAAACCAAAGGAATGAGCAGTCTATTCAATGAAATAATACGAGAAAACTTCCCAGACTTGAAGAATGAGACAGAATCCCAAATCCTAGAAGCCTACAGGACGCCGAATGTGCAAAATCATAAGAGATCCACACCTAGACACATTATAATGAAGATGCCCAACATATAGAATAAGGAGAGAATTTTAAAAGCTACAAGAGAAAGGAAGCAGATTACATTTAGGGGTAAACCAATCAGGATAACAGGTGATCTTTCAACACAGACTCTGAAAGCTAGAAGATCCTGGAATAACATATTTGAAACACTGAAAGAAAATGGGTTCCAACCAAGAATTGTGTATCCAGCGAAATTAAGCTTCAGGATGGAAGACGAAATTAAAACCCTCCACGATAAACAAAAGTTAAAAGAATTTGCAGCTAGAAAACCATCTCTTCAAAACATCCTCGGCAAAACATTACAGGAAGAGGAAATGGAAAATAACAATGAAAACCAACAGTGGGAGGTAGTACAGTAAAGGAGGGAAAAATAATCATAGAGGAAAACATGTTTAGTAACAGAAATAAACAAATATGGCTGGAAGAACAACCCATATCTCAATAATAACCCTAAATGTTAATGGCTTAAACTCACCAATTAAGAGACACCGGCTAGTAGAATGGATCACAAAACAAGACCCAACAATATGCTGCCTACAGGAGACGCATTTGATAGGAAAAGACATACATAGGCTGAAGGTGAAAGGTTGGGAAAAATCATATCACTCATATGGACTTCGGAAACAAGCAGGAGAGTCCATACTCATATCAAATAAAATAGATTTCAAGCCAAATTTAATCAAAAGGGATAAAGAGGGACACTACATACTGCTCAAGGGAACCATACACCAACAAGACATAACAATCATAAATATATATGCCCCAAACAATGGGGCAGCTATGTTCATCAAACAAACTCTTCTCAAGTTCAAGAGTCTAATAGACCACCATACAATAATCATGGGAGACTTCAACACACCTCTCTCACCACTGGACAGATCTTCCAAACAAAAGTTGAATAAGGAAACTATAGAACTCAATAACACAATTAATAACCTAGACCTAATTGACATATATAGAATATACCACCCAACATCAAGCAGTTACACTTTTTTCTCAGCAGCACATGGATCCTTCTCAAAAATATATCATATATTATGTCACAGGGCAACTCTTAGACAATATAAAGGAGTAGAGATAATACCATGCACCTTATCTGATCATAATGGAATGAAACTGAAAATCAACGATAAAAGAAGGAAGGAAAAATCATGCATCACTCGGAGAATGAACAATAGGTTACTGAATGATCAAAAGGTTATAGAAGACATCAAGGAGGAAATTAAAAAATTCTTAGAGATAAATGAAAACACAGACACAACATATCGGAATCTATGGGACACATTGAAAGCAGTTCTAAGAGGAAAATTCATTGCTTGGAGTTCATTCCTTAAAAAAAGAAAAAAACAACAAATAATTGATCTCATACTTCATCTCAAAATCCTTGAAAAAGAAGAGCAAAACAACAGCAAAAGAAGTAGAAGGCAAGAAATAATTAAAATCAGAGCTGAAATTAATGAAATCGAAACAAAAGAAACAATTGAAAAAATTGACAAAACTAAAAGTTGGTTCTTTGAAAAAAATAAATAAAATCGACAGACCCTTAGCCATGCTAATGAAGAGAAGAAGAGAGAGAACTCAAATTACTAGCATACGGGATGAAAAAGGCAATATCACAACAGACACTTCAGAAATACACAAGATAATCAGAAATTATTTTGAATCCTTATACTCCAATAAAATAGATGATAGTGAAGGCATCGATAAATTTCTTAAGTCATATGATCTGCCCAGATTGAGTCAGGAGGATATAGACAACCTAAACAGACCAATATCAATTGAGGAAATAGAAGAAACCATCAAAAGACTACCAACTAAGAAAAGCCCAGGACCGGATGGGTATACAGTCGAGTTTTACAAAACCTTTAAAGAGGAACTAATACCAATACTTTTCAAGCTATTTCAGGAAATAGAAAAAGAGGGAGAACTTCCAAATTCATTCTACGAGGCCAACATCACCCTGATTCCTAAACCAGACAAAGACACTTCAAAGAAAGAAAACTACAGACCAATATCTCTAATGAACCTAGATGCAAAAATCCTCAATAAAATTCTGGCGAATCGGATACAAAAACATATCAAAAAAAATTGTGCACCATGATCAAGTAGGATTCATCCCTGGGATGCAAGGCTGGTTCAATATACGGAAATCAAAAAATGTTATTCACCACATCAATAGACTTAAAGATAAGAACCATATGATCATCTCGATAGATGCAGAAAAAGCATTCGATAAAGTACAGCATCCCTTTATGTTCAAAACTCTAGAAAAACTAGGGATAACAGGAACATACCTCAATATTGTAAAAGCAATCTATGCTAAACCTCAGGCTAGCATCATTCTGAATGGAGAAAAATTGAAGACATTCCCTCTAAAATCTGGAACAAGACAGGGATGCCCTCTCTCACCACTTCTGTTCAACAGAGTTCTCGAAACACTGGCCAGAGCAATTAGACAGACGAAAGAAATTAAAGGCATAAAAATAGGAAAAGAAGAAATTAAATTATCACTATTTGCAGGTGACATGATTCTATACCTAGCAGACCCAAAAGGGTCTACAAAGAAACTATTAGAGCTAATAAATGAATTCAGCAAAGTGGCAGGCTATAAAATCAACACGCATAAATCAAAGGCATTCCTGTATATCAGCGACAAATCCTCTGAAATGGAAATGAGGACAACCACTCCATTCACAATATCCTCAAAAAAAATAAAATACTTGGGAATCAACCTAACAAAAGAGGTGAAAGACTTATACAATGAAAACTACAGAACCCTAAAGAGAGAAATAGAAGAAGATCTTAGAAGATGGAAAAATATACCCTGTTCATGGATAGGCAGAACTAACATCATCAAAATGGCGATATTACCAAAAGTTCTCTATAGGTTTAATGCAATGCCAATCAAAATCCCAACGGCATTTCTTGTAGAAATTGAGAAAGCAATCATGAAATTCATATGGAAAAATAAAAGACCCAGAATAGCAAAAACAATGCTAAGCAGGAAGTGTGAATCAGGCGGTATAGCAATACCAGACTTCAAACTATACTACAGAGTAATAGTAACAAAAACAGCCTGGTACTGGTACCAAAACAGGCGGGTGGACCAATGGTACAGAATAGAGGACACAGAAACCAATCCACAAAACTACAACTATCTTATATTTGATAAAGGGGCTAAAAGCATGCAATGGAGGAAGGATAGCATCTTCAACAAATGG